ACAGAACCGAATTTTGTGCTAAAATTCTGTTCCACGTTTTTCGTTGTCTCTTAAAAGTTAGAGTGCTTGAGGAAGGCCTTGTGGAATAAACTTTTTAGTATTCGTTATCAACATAGATTATTTTTAGAAAGAAGAATAGTTGAAGCATTAGTTCGATTGGTTTTTAATTATACTCACTTAATTTATTAACGAGTTTATTGATGTCAAAATTTTGGTTGTACTTCTGTGGTGAATTTAATGTCCAGGATAAAGTCTTTTTTTTTTTCTATCCATTTTTTTTATTAAATTTATTCATTTATCTATGCACCTGCCAATTTTCGTTGAAAAATATTTTGTAGCAGTCACCTTATTTCTTGCTGCACTTTTGTTACCTAATTTACATTTTACCTGATGTTGGCGCGGGAGACAGAGGGGTCTATTGATTGTTTTTATTTATATTTATTTTACATATATAGTATTCATATTAGCAATATTTGACTTATGTCATAAATTGATATTGTAAACCTAGATATTTTAGAATAAAAATATAGTTAAAAAATTTGTACATTTAAAAGAAATTACTTTAATAAAACGATTTTTAGTAAATATTAAAATAAGACTTTGATTTTATATTTGATTTAGAAATAAAATGGAGAAAGAAAATAAAGGTTTCATCTAGTATTTCATCTAGTAATTTATTAATAAAAATTAGATGTGAATTAAATTATTGATGAATCATATCTAATTTGAAAATTTGAACGTTGTTTTTATTTAGTAAGAAATATCTTTATGGATAAGTTGTTTTGATATAAATTTATTAAACTGTTTTTAAATTATCTGGCCACTATCTAAATCTTTATGTATAACTTAAATATTTCTTTCACTGTTTTAGATAAACAAAGTTGTAGTGCAGCCGACAACATCAGTTAGTTACTTTCTGTATTCAATAGCTTAGTAGTTATTAAATAGATGCTATTATAATATATGTTCTATATATAAATATATATATATATATATATATATATATATATATATATATATATATATATATATATATATAAAATATATATATATAAATATATATATATATATATATATATATATATATATATATATATATATATATATATATATATATATATATATATAAATGATATTAGTTTTCTAATGCAGTTCTTTATTATGCCTGTATAGATTGTTGTCTAACAATATTATTTCTTGTTAGTTGTATTTTTGTATACTTAATACTTACATTTTTTTAAGTCACTCTTTTTTTTCTGTAGACAATTTAGAACAAACAATCAGTAAGTTAAGTTTGAATTGTTTTAGTTACTATGTCATTTAAAGTATTTTTATGCTGTGTTAGTATTCCTTGTTGAATAAATGTTTTGATTTAAAAGTTTTTTTTAAAAGATTTAAGTTTAAGAAAAAAAATTGTTAAATGGTCAATTAATGTAGCACATAAAAACAGATTTACAAATCAACTGCATCGATGCAAAGTGAGAGATGAGATTTGCCAAAGACAAAAAATCAAGCGTCAAAAAATGGATGAAAAAGAAAAAAGAAAGTTAGAGCGTGAGCTATCCAAATTGAGTTTTAACGAAATTATTTATTCATGCAAGCGCTTGTCCAATGACCAACTATTTGATTTAGAAGATGTCATGTCAGATAGAATCGTTCGGAAGAAACTAGAGCATGAATGGTACGATTCAAAAACATGCAAAAGTGTTTTATATAGCGAAAGAGTAGAAAAAGTTAATAATAGAAAAAATAACTTTATTTACACCATTTCTTACTGGAAAGATGATGAAACTGATATTGGAGCTGTTGACTATTGCATGAAAAAGATCCAGCTTGCTGCTGATGTTGTTTTCAGTGAGTTACAATTTAATTAATTTAATAACACTGCAAGTGTTGTGACTTGTCAAAAATATGTTGCAAGTGTTGTGACTTGCATAAATAATATTTATTTTGAAACAGGAAATTTGTTTATTAACCGAAGAAAATGGTTAGCTCGTTAACCATACTGTATGGTTCTGTTAATGTGAGAATAACATGAAAGACAATAATATAGGTATTTGCTATACTTGGTTATAAAGATGACATGTTTTTTAAAGCCAATTGACTTAATTATAGCCCCACAATAGTAGTTGTATAATTTTTTTAGTAATATATAACCAATTAAATAATAATATTAGGTTAGAGGGGGAAAAAACTCATAGTAGATATGTTGATGATGTTTTAAAGGGGAAAGAGGCATTCTAAATGCCTCTTTTCTTTCTTTCCCTTTAAAACATCATCAACATATCTACTATGAGTTTTACATTCATCTTCCATATTTGATGGTTGTCTGATATGAATTTATTTTTTAATTTATTTCCAATTTCATAATTTCATTTTTAAATTTATTATTCAAATTTTGAAAACAGTAATTGTATATATTTTTTTAAAGATGGGTGGGTGGGGGGGGGGCATACGCCCTCCTGTAATAGAAACACCACTTATAGACGTAAGATCATGTATAAAATAATTTTATATTGTATACTAATTTTACACATTTCAGTAAAGATATAAATATAAAATCAAGTCGTTTTTGATACTAGGGTGTAACAAACCACCACCACCACACCCACCTCTATTGCTAACATACACCTCTCATATATTTTAATGGTTAAGTATAAGTTTAAAACAATTTGTTTTAATATTTATATTGCTTATGTCTTTAAAAAAACTTTTTTTCTGAAAAAAGTGTTCAGTTTCGTACGGGTATGGTGGTGGTTTGGTGCCCCCTCTGTCCGTCCGAAACGCCCGGTGGTTAGAATTTAACATAAAGTTGTAGCCCACTCTTACACCTATCTTTTGACACTAAGATATTTGTTTTTTGATAAGAATTGACAAAGTTATGACAATTTAAGTAAAGAAAAACATTATTTTGACCACAGTTTCTTCAACAAATCCTAATATCGAAAAATCGGTACTTAAACCGTCATAACTTTTGAACCAATTGTTCGATTTTGATAATTTTTAATAACCTTTAAAATACTGTAATAATCCTCTTTCTAATGATATATAACTTCATAGTATTCAAACAATTTGAAATTTTTACTCACGTACCTATATATATATATATATATATATATATATATATATATATATATATATATATATATATATATATATATATATATATATATATATATATATATATATATATATATATATATATATATATATATATATATATATATATATATATATATATATATATATATATATATATATATATATATATATATATATATATATATATATATATATATATATATATATATATATATATATATATATATATATATATATATATATATATATATATATATATATATATATATATATATATATATATATATATATATATATATATATATATATATATATATATATATATATATATATATATATATATATATATATATATATATATATATATATATATATATATATATATATATATATATATATATATATATATATATATATATATATATATATATATATATATATATATATATATATATATATATATATATATATAT